TCAGCTAACTGCAATCTCCACCTCCCGGGTTCAAGTGATTCTCCTGCCTCAGCCTCCTGAGTAGCTGGGACTACAGGCACACATCACCACACCCAGCTAATTTTTGTGTTTTTAGTAGAGACAGGGTTTTGCCTTGTTGCCCAGGCTGGTCTTGATTTCCTGACTTCAAGCGTCAGGCCTCCCAAAGTGCTGAGATTACAGGTATGAGCCACTGCACCTGGCCAGGAGTAATACCCTTAACAAACAAAATGCTCTAAGAGGAGCTTTTTCAACAAGAAAAAAAAATACAGCAGTAGAAAGACGGGACAAAGGTATACAGGACGTTCTTAAAGAATTCTTAAAGGGATAGACATAAATGGCCACAGACATATGAAAAATGTTTACCATCCATTGATCAAATTAATGAAAATTAAAACAATAAAACAAGACGGTATTTTACCCTTTCAAAATGACAAGTTTCAAACTTATGATACATACCTAGTATTGATGAGAAAATGGGACGTGGGTTCCTGCTTACACTGCTGGTAATACTATAAGATCGATCCATTCTTTGTGGAGTATAATTAGGTAATATATTGGGGTTTGTTTTTTTTGTTTTGTTTTCAAAATGTGCATGTCTTTGACCTAACAGTTCAACTTCAAGGCATCTCCTGTAGGAAAGTATTCAAGTATACATGGAAAGATTTAGTTAAAAGGCTACTCCTTCGAGCAGTATTTTTAAAATAAAGGGTTGATTAAAATATGAAATATTTATATAACAGAATATCATATGGTTATTATTCATCATATTATGGAAGTATTTTTATGGACATGAAAATATCTGTATGATTTTTAAGTAAAAGATTATAAAATAGTTTATATAATATACATCAAAAGACATCAATAATTATATGAGTAGTAAGATTATGGTGATTTTTTTTCTTCTGTTTTAACTTTGTGCATTTTCTAATTTATCTACTTAGTGTATATTTACTACTCGATCATTTCTTTCAAAATGAATGTAATTGTTAGAAATTTTCTAATACAGCCTGTTGTTTCTACATTTAAAGAAACCAAGGTTTCAAAGTTACAACTACAAAGTGCCTGAGCTAGGAATTAATCTTCTTGATCCCAAGTTCAGGGCTGTTTTACACATTGCTTTGTATACGAACTCTGATTAGATGGGCAGTGCTTCCAGTCAGGGGCTATTATTTAATACATACTCACATTTTTTTCCTCCCCTGCACTTAGCCTGATGTCTTGCCACAGAAGTAAACCTTCAGGAAAGATCTATTGGATTGAATGTCTTGTGGGGTAAGGTCCAGGTTTTTTTGTTGTGTTTTGTTTTTATTTTTGTTTTTTCGAGAGGGAACCTTGCTGTGTTGCCCAGGCTGGACTGCAGTGGTGCAATCTCAGCTCACTGTAACCTCCGCCTCCTGGATTCAAGTGATTCTCCTGCCTCAGCCTCCTGAGTAGCTGGGATTACAGGCACCCACCATCACACCTGGCTAATTTTTGTATTTTAGTAGAGATGGGGTTTCACCATGTTGGCCAGGCTGGTCTTGAACTCCTGACCTCAAGTGATCCACCCGCCTCAGCCTCCCAAAATGCTGGGATGACAGGCATGAGCCACTATGCCCAGCCACGGCCCAGAATTTTTATGAATCTTATTCCCCAGACATAACATACACACAAACACTAACCTAGTTTCATACTTGTTTTCGTAAGCTTGCTAAGAAGAATGTTTCTTTCTCTTTTCATCACAAGAGCCTTTAAAAAGGCCTTTGCTTCGTTACTTTCTTCCTCTGTTAGATTATAGAGATACTTTATGAGAAGATAGAGAGGGAATGGCTTTGCATTTATTCTTGTCTTTTGGTTAGATGTCTTCTCCCTCTTTCAGCACATCCCTGTTGTCTCCTAGCTTTCAGGTCCCTTTGCTGTTAGCGTTCATCAAGCCAGTGTGCCACTCATGATTTTCCTCCCATTGTCAGGAGGGGTGGGCCAATGTCCGAAGGGTGCACTTGACCATCTTTATTCTGTCTCTTTTCTCCCTTTTATGCGCCATCTTTGTCATTCTCTATCCAGTGTGTTTCTTCCTCTTCTAAGTGTGAATCATTTCCCTCAAAGATGTTATCTTTGCTGCCTACTTTAGATTTTTTGAGTTGAATTTCTCTTTGGGTTCCTCTCCTGAAGGTCCTTCTGGCTTCTCTGTTTACTTCTCACAGTGCAGTCACCACCTGATGGATTTCCCTTGTCCTACATCTTCTGCACGTGCAGGATCCATCTCACTAATTTCCAGCTGTTGTTCTCTCCTTCTCCCCCTTCCCTTTTCTGTTTTTCTTATTCTTTGTTGTCCTCAAGCTACCACGAACTCTTCCTCTCACTTTGTTTTTTCTTATTCTTCCTCTGAGATCCTTTACCCTCCTCACTGCCTTTTGCGTGTGACTTTAGCCCAGCCTTCATTGAAACTGCTTTCTTTTCCATTTTTATCAGATCCTAATTTGGTGAAAGTTCTATGTACTTTTTCTGTTTATGTACAGGGAGACTTTTGTTGCCCCTAGTGATACTATACCTTGGCATCTGTACCATTTTTATACTCAACTTCATGTGCATTCATGAACTTCCCTGGAACGTATTTTTGGGCTTCTATATATGATACAAGCTTACCTGGAGTAGCTCCATTTAACAAATTTAAAATCAAGAAACATCAAGTAACGTAGAATTTTTTGCCCCTCATGTGTAAATGTTTTTTATATGAAAAGATAGGCCGACCATTGATTTAAGATTGGGCCTGTTCCTTAAAGCACAGGTGTCCCCAACCCCTCCTGTGTCCCCAGGGAAAGCCCTTCGGGAATGGTTAGCTGCTGCCCTTTCTTGCCACAATGTGCCAGCTGTCACTTTTCTCAGGAGTGGTCAATGGAGTTGACTGCTACCTTAACCAGATTTGCCATCATTCTGAAACTGCCATGTGTTTTCTAAGGACAACCCCGTGTTAAGCCTTTCTCTTTAGAGGAAGGACAGTAACCTTTTTGTGTAAGTCCAGAACTCATCGATGCTGTAGGAATGATTGCATTAAAAAATGTTAGGTTTAGCCCCACTAGTTTATCTCACACTAGTTGTAGTGCAAATACTACCTGCTCTCTAAGGAAGCAACTTCTTATTTCATCTGCATATTGGTTCTTGATTTTTATGAATTGTATAATTTGTTCTACATCAGAGCCACATCTAGATGCTTAATTGTTACTATCTTGATCAATCAAAAATGAGACAACCCATTTTTTAATTGATTTGAAAAATGTAATAACCTAATTATATAAAAGTAGGCATAGCTTAGACTAAATGAAAGAATGCTATTTAATAAAATTATCTATGGTCCTTTCGAATCACTAACCCTGAATATCATTCATGGGGACTTTTTTTTCCCATTGAATGAAGAATTTCATATACTCTGATTGCCTGCTCTTCATTTCTGGAAGTTACTCATGGTTTGGAGTTTTTAGTGTCTGTATTTGGGAATTGTATTTATTTCTTGCTTACATTAACCTGTCAATGCAGGAGCAGGCCTTAAACAATTGCTAATAATTCAAAGAGATGCTAACAATATGTTTGAGAGGCAAACTAGAAGATAGGAAATTAGTATTTTGGTCTTTTTTGGTTGTGTTTGTATGTGTTTGTGTTTTACACAGTGTCTTTTATCACCTGTGCTATTGCCTGAGCACACTAAGATTTGGTTGTAGTCAGAAGACATTATTCAAATTTATTTAGTACATGTTGTATATTTTTCTTTCCAGTAAAGAATTGAAGAAAAGTGAAGAGATGCCCAAATGCACAGAGGTGAAAATGACAGATTAAACCAAATGGAATTTCTCTTCAGAGTTCAGAATTTTCACATACTAAGGAGGAAGAAAGGATCCACTACTTCTTGTTCTTATGAATGACTCTAGAAAAATCAGAATCAAGTTGTGGGCAGAAAAATCAATGTGACCTTTGAGCTCAATTGTTATAAACCATTGCGATTGTTGTTGGTCCAAGTATTGGTACTTATATTGGTAGTAATTGCATCATAGTTACATTACCGGTGTTGGAAAACTCATGAAGAAAACACTGTAATTGCTACTCAGCAAATGTGAATAAAAGGTGTTTGCATTATTAGGATGTCTGTTAAGTAATCATTTAATATTATTATATCGGTAATGTGGTTATATATGTGGTGTTATGCCCAGAATATGAAGTGTCTGCTTTTGAAATTCACTTTATTCAAAAGAGAAGCAGCTGGCTGGGCATGGTGCCTCACACCTGTAATCCCAGCACTTTAGGAGGCCAAGGGGGGTGGATCACCTAAGGTCGGGAGTTCAAGACCAGCCTGACCGACATGGTGAAACCCCGTCTCTACTAAAAATACAAAAATTAGCGGGGCGTCGTGGCAGGCGCCTGTAATCCCAACTACTGAGGCAGGAGAATCACCCAGGAGGCAGAGGTTGCAGTGAGCCGAGATCATGCCATTGCACTCCAGCCTGGGCAACAGAGCAAACGTCTGTCTCCAAAAAACAAAAAAGATAACCAGCTTTAGAATATGGCATATTCAAAATGGTTACAGTAACAAAGACATTAAAAGAAAACAATTTACTTTCGAATTAAAAGTTTGTGTTTCTTAAGAATGAATCATGTAGGTAACTTCATACACTTAAACTAAAAGTGATTTTCGGCTGGACTGACAACAGTGTTCCAAATGTCTTTACTTTTTAAAAAAGACATTTCGCCGGGCGCGGTGGCTCAAGCCTGTAATCCCAGCACTTTGGGAGGCCGAGACGGGCGGATCACGAGGTCAGGAGATCGAGACCATCCTGGCTAACACAGTGAAACCCCGTCTCTACTAAAAAATACAAAAAACTAGCCGGGTGTGGTGGCGGGCGCCTGTAGTCCCAGCTACTTGGGAGGCTGAGGCCGGAGAATGGCGTGAACCCGGGAGGCGGAGCTTGCAGTGAGCTGAGATCCGGCCACTGCACTCCAGCCCGGGCGACAGAGCGAGACTCCGTCTCAAAAAAATAATAATAAAATAAAATAAAAAAGCATTTCATATTTAAGCACATACCTATTTTGTAGACTTACATTGTTTAATATTTATTTTAATCTTAATATTTTTACATTATTATATTACATTTATTTATTTCTAAGTTCCAGAATAATAGCATCATTATTATAGATTATATGTTTTGAAGTTAGATATTATAATAGGGTATTCATTTTTTTTTCTTTTCTTGACTCCTTTCTCAACTGTGTGATAAGGTCTGCTGATAAAATAACCCCAAGAAAGTGAAAACTAATGTAAAATTAGAAAGACTTATCCAAATTAGACAGTCAATTCCATTAAAATAAGAAGTGAGAAAAACAATGTTGGGCATTGAGGTGTAAATTTTACCCAGTGTGAAATATCTTCTAATAAAAATATATTTGGCTCTTATCCCTGCACATGTTGTAGAGGCATAAAAATTGGTAAACATGTCCCTTTTTAAACACTTTTAAAAAAGGCATTTTTCAAAGTGTTGAGTGGCATTGATAACTGTTGAAGCCTGAAGCCATCAGCGCAAAAGTCTGTTCTGATGGCACTGAGTTTTCATTGTTCTGGATGCATAAGTCTGTGCATCAGGTACAGCTGGGCCCAGCCAGCTTGAGTCACTCTTGTACAAGCTTGTTTTTTTCTGTCTTGTGAAGGCACTTGATAATTTAAAAATAAAAATATCTGTTTCTCTGCAGTTTCAGCTCATAATTTTGAGATATGTGTTGATTTTCTGATGGAATCACCAAGAATTTCAACAGGTTTAGAAATAATTTAAGATGAATGAAAAATATGTCAGGGGGAGCTAAGCATTTGCTAAGATCTTGAGGTTTATATGAAAAATGAAGGATTATTTTTATATTGCAACTACTAAAGACAAAAATAGCAGTTGAAGCAAACACCAGGAAAATTTGGCTCTACTGAAAGCCCAGTCCTTTTCCCCTTTGTCTTGCTGACAAAGTAAGACTAGGGTTATGTTCATGAATAGATTAATAAAAGGTCTTTACCACTCAATCTGAGATGAGATGCGGTGAGGGAGATCATGACAGTGCCCGCTAAGCAGTAGATCCAGCTGATAATCAAGCAGAAAATCAAACACCAGAATCCATTTGATGATGTATGGCATTAAACATTTCCTTATATCAAATTGGGTTTGTTTTATCTTTATTCTGAAAGTATTGAATTTTATCCCATGTCATCTCTTTTCTCCAAACAAGTAACAATTTGACATTATCTTCTTCTATATCTAAATAATATTTTTAAACCATTGTTAGAAACGCACTTCCCAATTATTGATCCAACTCTGTCTTGAAGATTAACGTTTCTTCAGTATTGAAATAATACGGTGTATAGGACTTGGAAAGCTAGAATAAAAATCAAGTTTTTAAAAGACTTAAAACATGAAATATTTTACACAATGTATGCAAATGTATGTGTAAAATGCATATTTTAAATGAAATCAATGCTTTTAAATGGCTAACACTTGGTACTTCTGAAATCTTGTGCAGGGTTTCTGTCACATACAAATGAATACTTGACCTTAATATTATCTTTAAATTATAGAAGAATTTAATTAAAGAAAGATATCTTTTCTTTAGGAAGCTCAGCAAGACTATGTTTGAGAAATACTTACCATTTTATAGCTTCATGTGACATGTTGTCACTTCACTCATATATTTAGCCATAAATATTTTTAAAAGGAAGTTCTAGAAACTATAACGAAAGTTTGTGACCTTACATTTTTATATGTATTCAAATGATTTCCATCTGATGGCCATACCTGTTTAGTGAATTATGGAAACATTTTTAAGCAATCCACATGTTTTAAGCTATATATTTCTTCGTTTCTATTTAATTGAACTGTACCGAAAATAGTCCCCAAATCTTCACTTTATTATGTACGTGACCTCATTTACTCTTCACATCAAATCCATTAGATAGATAAAATCTTCCCTGCTCTACAACTAAGGAAACCAAGTTCTGAAAGTTAAGTAACTTCTCCAACTGCACAACTCCGGCCACTGCTAGCTGCAAATGGAGATGTCAGACTCCACTGGGTGATCTGTAAAGTACTGGATCTCAGTTGCTGTGGAGAGGAAAATGCTGATACTTGGAGATGACAGCACACACAAGAGTAAGGAAGCAGTTGGCATGTACCTATGACCACACTCAGGGACTAGAAACATCTCAAATGTTTGTCATTCAACAGTGACCTAAATAAAATATATCTGAGTGAATTATTTTTTAAAAAACTGATCTTTTTTTATTAGATAACTATTTTAGTAAATCTTTACTCCATACTATAATTATGGTAAGAAACAGATTCTATAGAATCAAACTAATTACATGTACAGTAACATTTTATTCAAGAAACCGAAAAGGCGCCATTCCAGTCATATATGAGATAATAAAAACATCAAGAAGCACGTCAATCAAAAGGCTGTGTTGACTGGAGAACTCATTCTATGGATGGACACAATTATCTGCAGGAGAATTGAATGTCAGCATCATTTAGGGTTAACAATAGACTAACTAGGCAAAAGCAGACAGCTACTCTCTGCAGAGACCCAGGAAGCAAACTTGGTAATGAGGCACTTCATTCTTCATATCCTTCTGCTCTAATTATTAAAGTGAATAGGAAATACTTTAAGCTAAGGCGGGAACTGGATAACAAAAACATTTGTTTTGTAAACACAAAGAATGCTATTTTTCTAATGATCCCCTTCAAATCTACATCAGGCATATGTTGTGAGCAGTCTGTTTTCTAAAGTTGCTCTTCTAACACCTCAAATTCATACTGATTATAGATGGGTTATTTTCATCTCAAAAAGCTGGGGAAGCTAGTGCTGCTAAGAATCAACAATTTTAGTTTCTCCTCAGTCTAAAAAAAAAGGGATACGTATACACATAATTCATGTTCTATCTCTTATCACTTAGGTCAAAATGGTCCAATATATACTTCAGTGTTATTTCTAAAAGTACTAAACAATATGATTTGTACTCACTATAGTTCATTTCTTCATAAAAATCATTTGAGCCCAATGAAAGAATAGAAGAAAATTTAAGAATGGTTTCCTTATAAAACTCAAATATTGCCAATCAAAGGATGATTTCTTAACATTGCTTGGAGGGGAGATGTTAGTGAAGATAAGAAAAAAAAAATAGTCTGAAAGGAGGAAAAAGCAAGAAGTTGAGGAACATAACTTGCTGCCAGAGCAAAAATAAGCAACTGAAGCTTGCGCAAAGTGGTCACAAGACTAAAGGAAGAAGGTTCCCTGGAGAAAAGTTTGGTAGCTTCAGTTTAGTTTTTTGATGTTTTCAGCTGAGAATCAGTGTTTAAGGTTTTTTTGTCTTAAATTTGTGCACAGGGCCATTCTGTATAAATGCTCCACATAATTTTTCCTGAACTATGATTTTTTAATAAAAAGCACAATAATGTGTTTAACCATCCCTGCCTATTATACAAAAGTTAATGTTCAGAAGTGTCTACTGATGCTACTTTTAGCAACTAAATATTTCCATGGTGGTAAAGAAATATCAGTAAAATCTATGCACTTTAAGCACGTCGAATTCTTATACTTATCATGTGTGCAGGCAGAGTACATAATAAACTAGTCTATAGCAGCTGTAAATTTCTGAGGATTTATCTAACCACAAATACATTGAAATGGGGAAATGGGTCTATATTAAACTATGCAAGATGCTGCTGGAGCTTTGCCATTTCTGCAACATCCTGTAATTAATTTATCATGACAGGTCTGGCAAACTGAAACATCCAATACACTTGCGACAGACTGTTATACTATAGTTGTTAGACATCCTGTAGTCACATTAAGTGAAGGTAGATTTTTTTTTTTTTTTGCCTTCATACATGAATATTGGGCCGTTATATTTAGGGTACCCTGTAGCCAAGGACAGACTTGCAATTTTTGAATTTCAGAATAACAATATATAGAATATGGAAAATATCCCCGACTGAAATTATGAGTTCAGTTTCTTCTCTGCCATGTGTGGTCTTTTCCTGAAGAGGGACAGTCCTGGGAAGGGGAACGATACAATTTGGTCAGCGCTTCCCATGCGTGTGTCCCTCGGGCTAGCTAGGATGGACTCTCTCCTGGAAGATTTGAAGGTCAGCTCTCTTGGTTGTCTCTCCAACACATTCTTTTCCTGTAAGCCAAGCTCACAAGACCAGCTTCTGTGTGCCAGCCTCTTCTGGAAGCTGCAGTCCCGCCATTTGCAAACTTAAAGTACAAATAAATATAGAAATTATTCCTGCTCCAACCTCATCCAATCCAGAGAAAGGAGAAAATGTAAAGCTTGTGGGGGTTTTTGGCCAAAATAGATCCTATCTAACAATATGTTCTATGTCGGATCATATCAGTGTGAAAGAAAGAGCCGCTCTTGATTTGGTGTGTGTAATTTGATGCGGGTAAAATAGTGACTGACGCTAAGGATGGAGCTGTGTAGTAAACGAGCCTTCTTGCTCCAGGAGTGAAGTGAAGATACTTCCCATGAAAAGTGAGACCTATATTGTATGATGGTCCACAGCCTTGCCCATTTCCTAGGGAAGATCAGAGTTTCTCAGTCTACAAACAAGTGGGGTCAAGGGGGTCTGAGAACCTTAAATCTGGACATTTCAGTGAGAGGGAAAAGATGTTAGGGAAAGGTCCCAGGTGATGGAGAATGAGTCCTGCTCTGTGGGAAAGAGGTGAGAAGCTGGGCAAGGGGCCTCAAGTGGTCCCAGCCTGCT